GGGGTGTAAACAAAGTGACAGTTACACAAAATTTCACATAAAAGCAATCTGAATTCTGATAATTCACAAACAGTGGAGTCTGCTTTAACCAAACATGGTAAATCCAAAAACAGCGGTAAACCAAAACAAAATTAAATTCCTCCATTTTTCTTTTATCTGAACAACCTCTCTCAACCAAAAACCCAGAGACATAGATAGCGTGGGAGCCATCAAAACTGACACAGGCTACTGCCAGACAAGTGAGTCACAATGTCACACAGTGACGGAAGTACCCATTTCTTTTATCACCGCCGACATCATCCAAGAAGTATCATTGATAATCGCAAGGGTTTAGCGCCCCTTTCAGCGCTTACCACTTTGCCGTCACAGCTCGCCGATGGCGATGTTTACCACCCAGTTCCTTTGGATTTTCCCCAAAATGCCTTTGCCTTTGATGGCAAGGGTTTCTACAGAGCCTTGTGATGGCAAAGTGGTAAAGAGACAAAAACCTTAAAATTTGATGTTCTACTCTGAAAGGATCAAAAACCAAGAAGGCTGAGATCTCACAAAGAACCCAAGTTCTAGAAACATCCCACTGAGGATATAGACCAGGGCCTTACAGCACAATAACCCAGTGTGTCATCAACTGAGCTAGCAGCACGCCAATGTCATTCGACGTGATAAAAACATTAACAATGTACAGTCGAACCTGCCCTGACGGCCACCTGTCCAAGACAACCACCTGTCCAAACAACCACTTCCCAACCCCCCCACCCCCCATCCTGTTTTCTCTACATAATGGACCTGTCCAGGACAAAAACCTATCCAAGGTAGCCATGGCAGCTACATTTATCGATCAACAGCCCCAAACCTGTCCAAGATGACCACACAAATCCTTAAAAACAACACCTTTGTTTTTTAAAATCCCCTATGCTTCCCTTTCCACCCTCCCTCCCAAAAAAAAATAAATACAATAACATTTTAATTAACAGTCCTGACAGCAGTCCTCAGCCAGCAGCCATCAGGACCTGGAAAGAGAATGGTTTGTTTTCTACGTTTTCAGCAATCCTGCCCAAAACATCCACCTGTTCAAGACATCCACCTGTTCAAGACATCCACCTTCCCAAGACATCCACCTGTCTAAGACAACCGCCTTTTCTCTCGACAGTGGATTGCCGTCTTGGAAAATTTGGACTACACTGTCAAATCATAGCAGATCACTGTGATAATTACCTCCACTTTGTGTCTGTAGACTGCGTCCTCCTTGGCATATTCCTCTACGATGTCATCGAAGGACAGAACTGAGCCTATCAAGCTCTGACTCTCAGCAATCTGGCGATGGAACACACACAAAAAATTGTCATGAGATATACTTTCTGCTCGAGACAATACGAAACAAAAACAAAAATTATCCCATTGCAACACTTTTCCTACTCAGCCATTTTTCTTCATGGTGACTTTCTTAGTTCTAAGCCATTTTGGCGGCTGTTTTTGTCCTACTTGACTGCAAGATGAAAAAATAGGCCCTATAATTTCCTCTTAATTTTGTATAGAAACTCAAATGTGTCACAAGTCAACATGCAAATGAATAAAAATAATAATAATAATAATAATAATAATAATAATAATAATAATAATAATTTAATATTTTTAACATTAATTTAAGAATAATAACAACAATAGCCTAACAATAATAATAATAATAATCCCGATCATTTCGATAATGCCCACTCTTGTACAATACAGCTCTAGGCACTTCACCGTATTCTTCACACAAAATAAATTATTAAATGTGCAGGAGCGTAGGTATCCATACCTTCTTTAGGTTAACGCCAACATCATATAAGCAGACACTCGTGCATGCACTATCACAACACAATCAATGACGGTATATATAACATATTAACACACAAATATTAATAGGAATAAGACTGATTGTAAAATTAAATCTTCTCTCAGACAGTGTAGTGAAAGAAAAAAAATCAACCAAAGTATAAAATAGCGGTTTATGTTGTACGAGTCTGTCGATACGATTGTATCCATAATGAATGAATATATATGAATAAGTTGAGCTGTAAAATGAAATGCTGCAAAATGAAATGCTGCAAAATGAAATGCTGCAAAATCCAGCTCCTGGCCATAAATAAAGCATGGGCAGAGCATGCGCCTCTGCACTTTTTGTCACTCACAATAAAATCTTACCTCTTTCTCTATAGCTCTTTGCTGTGCCATGGTGTCCTCATCATAATTTTTCGCTGGAAAAAAAGAGGGAAGAAATTTTTTGCAAAAAAGAGCTACAATGATCAGCTTTCTGAAAAGACCTTTGAAATAGAATTTTCATTTTTCACGTGAATAGTTGAAATCACAGCTCACTACACAGAAAGACTTTTTAAAAATATTTTGTTATCTTACACGTGACTATAGTCGATGTTGTAGCAGTGCGTCGTGTTTGTTAAGCTCAACAGCAGCTTTTCCACAAGTTCTACTGTTCGTCAAAACAAGCATTACTGCCGTACCACAGGAAGGGAATGAATTATAAACATAAAAGTAAAAGTCTGAAAATAAAGATCCTGAGAACAAATCCATTCGCTACATTTTTCAGAAGAAAATGACAAGAGAGTAACTTAAAACAAAGAGAATGATAGAAATCATTAGTCTGGGGAATTTAAGGGTCTAATCTGACAAAATTTCCGTTTCCCGAAAACACCAAATCAAAATAAAACATCATCTGGAAAATTGCCGATCTCTGATTAGGTAGTTAGTCTCCATAGTCTTAATAGTTCAGTAGTCTCTGCCTGAGATCTCACTGCTGATGATCCTGGTGCACAAAAACAGAATTTTTACTACACATTAAAGTCAAGTCATCCCTAAGATATCACTCTAAACGGACTAAATTCAGCTCCAAATTTCAGATCATAATTTACTGAACTAACACTTGGTGGGTGCATGCCCAGCTAATAAACCAAGAAGCTCAAATTTGCAATCAATTGCACTGCCCAGTGCGACACAGAACCACTCTTGTGAATATGATCACACCTCCATTGTAACTCATAATAACTGGATACAATGTTTGCCCCAGACAGGATGATTCAGGTAAGCCTCTAGGATGTAAACTCATTGAGGATTTGTTTTCCCTAAACATTGCATTCGTATTTGAGACCTCCATGATATGATAGCCACTTCCTTAGGAGGCCTCTATAATGACTTGTGAGTAATTTGTCAATAAAAATTTTGACAGGCGCTATTTTGCAACGCCGCGTTCTGAATAGCTCCCGAGCTATTTGAAACGCCGCAGTCTGTGGTTAGCTCCCATGCTATTTGAAATGTCAGAACTTCCAACAACGAAAGGTAAAACCTATATTAAGCTTGATATCTAGACCTAACACACTGCGTTATATTTAGCACTGGCGCTAATCGCAACGCAGCGTTGCAAATAGGTACTTCCTAAAATTTGTGTAAAATCTAACTCTTTTAAAAAGTCGTCTTTCTTTTCTCCTCCGCAGTGGCTACGTTCACGGCGCCCTGAATGCAGCCTGCAGGCTACGTTCACGGCGCCCTGAATGCAGTCTGCAGGCTACGTTCACGGCGCCCTGAATGCAGTCTGCAGGCTACGTTCACGGCGCCCTGAATGCAGTCTGCAGGCTACGT